GGGGCCAGCTGCGGGGAGGGGCTGCAAGAGGTTGGCCGGTCAGCCTTACCCCCAAATGGATCAGGCCAGTTCGCTGGCCACAGCGACTGGTCGTTCTGGTTATGGTGTTGTGGTCGCTGGCTTTTTATACATAGAGATAGATATGTGTTTGCTTTAGCAAACATTTTCCATTCTAACTGTCCTCCTCCTCTCTGACCACAGTCCCGCCCTACCCTGTGGAGTGAGCTCTGTGAGTGGAGCGGGAAGTGGGGTCACAGACGTAGGCGTAGAAACCATGCAGGAGGCTGGTGGTCTGGAGTCATGCTGACCCTTGCCTGGCCTGAGCGCTCAGTGTGGGAACGGGCCTTGGAGCTCGGGCGCGTTCATGGGCTCGGCACAGCGGCCTGATTCTCTCAGCAGAACGGGACTGGAACTCACCCAGGGGAAATTATTTTCCTGGGGCCTAAATTTAGTCCAGGGAGCTTGAACATTATGTCATTCCCTGAACTCACTCAGCAGTAAACAAGTTCAAAGCAAGGTCGACAGCTGGCGACCAACCGGCTTTGTCCCACAGGCAGCGTGCACCCACCTGGGGAGGCTGTGTGTGTGGGGAGCTCTGCAGCCCTTGGCAGTGGGCAGGTGGGCCTGGCCCGCTGTGAGGGTCCCGCCTGAACCACGCTGGGCACCTGGGCAGGACCAGGGGCCAGGGTGGCTGGAAGGGGACCCTGGTGTGGTTCCCACCTGGACCTGGAAAGCTTGTGTGGGGGGAGAGTACGGGGGTGAGGATGGCAGCTATGAAAGGAGGTCTTAACCTGGGATTGGATTCCTGCAATGGGCCCTCTAAAGGGAGTCACAGGCCCTGGCCAGGCAGCTCAGTTGGTTAGAGAAAGCAGGACGGGAAGCAGCCGGGACGTGGCCCACACCTGGTCCTGCACAGCCCCGCCCTAGTGCCCCCCCCAACCCCCCCAATGGCTCACCAGGCCCTTCCTAGCTCCAGGCTCGGCCGAGCATTCTGCTCTCTCGCTTACTTTCCTGTAGTGACCCGACATGAGAGGCAACTTTTTTATTTGTCTCGTCTCATAAACAAGGAAACAGGAAGGCGTGTAGGAGTGGACACGGTCAGCCCAAGGCCACACAGCTGGCAAGCGCCGGCCCAGATGTGACCAGCTCGTCCTGTGTTCACGCGCCCTGGCTCGTGACCGTGCGGCGGACTAGGAGGGGGACTGGCCGCGCAGCACCCAGCGAGGAGCGACTGCACAGCAGGGGCCCGGGAAAGATCAAATTTTTAAAAGTACGGTCTCTATCGAGTGGGTATGGCTTTCATTCATATCATCGTAAAGTCAACTCATTTGTAAATCAGGGCCCGTCTATATGTGAACATTTTCATTTAAAGGGGGTCCAGACACCTCAACATAAACAAACACAGACCCATGTAAACACACTTACACGTCCTCCACAGTCAGACCACTTCTTAACGCCTCCTCCACTCCCCCCTGGTGCAGCGCCACCCTCTCTCACCTGGACGATGGCAGCAACCCTGCCCCCCCCCCCCCCCCCCCCCCTCT